GTTGAGCAAACTCTTCGCCTTATCAAGAGGGCTGGATTCAAATGCCTTGCAGATGCGCTATTTTTAAAGGCCAGCGCTGCGTAGTGGGATAGCCGTGGCGGTCGGGAAACGGATACAACAAACATTGGTTAGTTAATCCACACTCCCGTCCTACATCCTCGCCCGTAACAAATGCGTCGCATATACGCATACATTAGAAACATTCATTGGTCCTTGTGTGGCTATTCGCCAGCGTTCGAAGAAATGGCTACTTGAGCACACATTGATGGTCACCAAACATGCTTTGTGCCCTGGGCAGGGTCCCGATGTTTTCCACGAAGCATCGATCACTGAATGTGTGCCTCATGTAATATTAGAGCATGGTGTCGTTATAGTGTTTTAATGACAAGCAAGCTGTTGCATTATTTGTGATATTGCAATCACTGTTTGCCTGCATAATATGTGCCAATGCATGCATGGTGTTCTTGTGGTGTGTACATACATGCCTAAGACATGTGTTGCCTTGGTTTGCCTACCGCACAGTCGTGCAAGTTACGCGTTTGCGAGGCATTTCAGCATGGAGTGTGTATCTCACTTTAACATGTTGGTCCCTTTCCACATTTTGTTTGAAACTTATTTCTGCGCGTGTGTACTGCAGCTCATGCATAACTTGCAGGTACAGTGCGCATGCATGCGCCACGATGTTCAGAAAATGCTGTGACCGACGGGCGCAGCTACCCACGCTGGTACTCGATATTTACATGCGTGACGCCTTTCTGTCTTGCCGTGACCTCAGAATATTGGTTGGTTCTAGCACAAATTGATGACAGCACTGCCCTGACGCGTAGTATTTAGATCAACGGGCCGGTTGAAACTGTGCCCAAGTCATAACATCGGACTGCTCAAAAATGTTTAACGGTGGTTTGAGATATTTCTCCGCACGCCAGCCGCGGAGATGTTTTTCTGGTTGATTTTCTGAGTGACGTGAGTGGGGATTGGAATTCGGCTGCCAAGGCTCGCTAAGCAAATTTGCACGTCTTTGGTCAATATTGAAGGAAAACCACCAGACGCCATTGGTATAAACGCGTGCCCTATTTTGACTGCTGACGCAGTGTGGGAATGGTCAGATGCAGCAAATCCCCGGAGCCGCCTCCAGCGAAAACAGCGCGAGATAAGCACGTTTAACGCCCAGTTATAGTGCGGAAATATGTCATGTGTTGAGTTAAAGCCATGGTTAAGAGAAGCCCGTTCCAAGAATATCTATCAGAGCTGTCATGCAAATATATAGCAGTTTAAAACATTCTTGGTGGTGGCTAGCTACAGCGAGCACACTGGTTGCAGGTGCCTCAGATATTGTGACGGTCCGAGTTCAGTGCAGTGTCCATTGCGGCAAGTTTACTGTCATTCATGCCATTTACACCTGTCAGCGACGCCAAGCTATTTACGAAAAACCGAATCTCATCCATGAGCTACGCCACCGTCTCACAAAATCAGCTAGCACCTCGGCTACACCGGCATCTTCAGAAAACCATTGCAGTATCCAACATGACACACTGTTCTCTAAGATGCCCTCAGCCGCGCTGTACTCAGAGGCGCAGAAGCATTCGAGTCCTCAGCGCGGCACCGCCCCTTCAAGCACTCGGTCACCCGGCCGAATGGGAGCGCCGCCTGGCCCAGCCACGATCATAGGCCGCTCACGGCTCGGCAAGCCCCACTTAATATCTGTCCGAAGGTCGTGCCAGCGATGAACCTTTCCGCGACGGTTAAAGCAGCACAGCGAGCTTATCGGGCTTGCCCGGCGGCGGGTCGACCCGACCCGGGGCGTGCTCTGCGAGGCTGTCGACGCTGCCAGCCGAGCACGAACAGCGGCCGTCACATGCCCGGGCGGTCAGGTCACCGTGCATTGCTGGCCTCGCGTGACCGACCCCGGCAGCCCGCGAACGTCCGGGTGCCCGTGGTCGCGTCGGGCGTCGCTTCGACCCCGCGCTGGAACTGCGCTGGTCCGCCCGGTCGGGCGAGCGGGCCGCCTCGTCACAAAGGCCCAGCTACTGGCGAATGTATGAGCGCGGTCGGTTATCGCCGTTATCGCGCGCCACATTGTTGGCATGCGCCCCGGCCGCCCCCCCCCCCCCCCCTCCCTGCCGAGCTCTTCCCCTATTGACTTCCATGGCAGGTGACGGGAGGGGCATTGTTGTACAGGGTTTCCGACGACGCCATCCGTCGTCGCGGAGGCAATCCCGCCAGTCGTGGCGAGCTGGTTTGTGGACCACACGTGCGCGTAGCGTCCGCCCCACACATGATTTGTGACCACTGGTCGATCGGTCTATCGTTGCAGTATGGATTCATGCGTTGCCCAATTTGAGCGAAGGGCCGCTTTATGAGGCTCAAACTGCGTAACTTTCTTGCCTCATACGCTGAACTTCAACGGAAATCCGGCCTGGAGTGGCGCTGTTACTTGGTATTTGTGACGTTGAGTGAAGGTAGTTAGGCCCTCAAAAACAGTCAAATCCCACCAAGCGGCTTGGACAGTGCTTGGGGTTTCCCAGGCTTGCCCTGCTCATTCTCCTGCCACCCGGCATCACTTGCCGAGCCTAAGATTTTTCCGAGACTTCTCGATCGTCAGATTTGGGATTTACTTGGGGAGTTTTAGTGCGTAATTACCACAGGCGGCTCTGGAAATGCTTCGGACAACCCGCTTGGGGAGACACTGGAAAGCGGCTCGGAGTCGACTCGGAGTCCCAACCAGTATATCGCCTTCGAAGCTGATCTCAAGCATTCCCCAAACGCCAAGTTGGTGATGGGGGATCGCAACAAAGCTGCCATGATTCACGCGCTTTAATGTCCAAAACTTCCCGGTTGAAGACGCACCAGCTTCACGCTCTCAGACGTATTGCGCATTTCATTGAAAAATAGACTTATCTGGTGCAAACTCCTGGAAACGAGCACAAGCACAAAACATGCAAAGTTGCGCGGCTTACGTTGCGTTGTAAAACCACAATAAGTCATCACTTGATATAACTAGTAGTTGCAGCTGATTAAAAAGGAAGCATCCGCCCGCCCTTTTCCTGCACACCGAACACCGTCACACTTTCTGTGCGTAACAGACCGTTACCTTGCAGTAGCCAATGCAGTCAGGAATGCTGTTGCGATGACGAAGCTGACTATGGGCAGAATCAAACGAGTCCTGCCCGCAGCCACCCAACTGGTCTCTCAGTTCACGCCTTCGCTATGTGTCCTTCTTGCGTTCGTGTGCTGTGTGTTAAGCTACTGAAAATGTTTATGTTCCGTATGTGATGTCCTTTATTGCCTTAAGATCTTTGAAGCTACGTGAGCTGTGCAGGACAGCTATGAAGCGAACATGATAGAACTTTGCTTAAGCCGTGTGAGCCGCTGTAAAAATACGCTGACTCTTTGTGCTCTCCTCACGGCAGTGTGTAGACAGCACGAAAGGCACGGGAAGTTTCCAGGGCTATTGAATTCCACGAACAACGTCCGCTTTTTGTAATAATACCTTTAATTGACATAAACCAAGCTAATGCGGCCCGCGGCGGAGAAACATGACACCAAGTGATACAAATTGAGCGCAAGCCGGCTATTACCACTGACCGAGTCGATATTTCATGACAAACTGCCATTGCAGTTGGCTGAAATCGATGACGGATGCGTACATCCATCGTCATTAATCTGCCGGCTTCGTGTCCGTCTGGCTCTCAGTATGGTTGCATAATCCAATACTCGCGCCATGGAAAGCGCCCGGGAGGCGATTTTCGTGCACGTGCCGCTGGCTTGGTGAGAGAGATCTCTGCGTGGTACGGCGGATGCTTTCGCTTTTGTCCGTGCTCGCAAGATGCAAAGCACGCTGCGGTCACGGGGAGAGAGACACACACAATTGAAGAGGATAGGAAAGAGAATACGCAGCTGGTGGGGAATCGGACTCCGGTGTACAGGTCGCAACTGAAGTTCTCGGCACAGGCCTTGGAAAGGCAGAGGCAATATTTAACCAAAGTGCACCCAGATTCTCTCATAATGGGCTGCAGATGATGGTGTCTCTAGTCTGCCTGCATCTCGCGTGAGGGATTTTATGCCTACTGATTTTGTTCACGCTGACAGCCACAGTAGATTTTTTGCTCACTCGCGCAAGATTCTGGAGTGATGAGTTGCAAATGGGTCAGGTGCCCGCCAGGTTCTCACAAACGAATGCGGGCAATATTTCCACGCACCCGACAACAAAAACGCTCCTGGGTCGACGGCCTGGCAGCGATATTGCTGCGGCCGATGGTGAGGGCTGCGGAATTTGACCTCTGCAGCCCCCTCCCTGTCAGCTGTGCCTCGGGCTCACCTCACAAACACGGACGGACGTGACCTCTGCAGCCCCCTCCCTGTCAGCTGTGCCTCGGGCTCACCTCACAAACACGGACGGACGTGACCTCTGCAGCCCCCTCCCTGTCAGCTGTGCCTCGGGCTCACCTCACAAACACGGACGGACGTGACCTCTGCAGCCCCCTCCCTGTCAGCTGTGCCTCGGGCTCACCTCACAAACACGGACGGACGTGACCTCTGCAGCACTCGAACGCTGGTCATTTAGCCGCGCTCGACGTCCGCGGACAAGCTCGGCTGTAAGCAGTGGTAGCGCGAAGAAGCGAAGAGCGTCGAAACTCAAAAGTCACGGTTTTGTGGAAATCGCAAACGTATCTATGCTTTTAGACATTGCATTTAGGGAACGCGTCGCAATCTTTGCCTTCCGTCATGCAATCCTGCCTGCCTGCCTGTCATTGGCCTGCCGGTAAGCGCGAACCGCAGTGACATTGCATTTTCTTTTTAGAAGCAATCGTTTCAGTCCCCATACCACTCTCCGCTGAAGTGCATTCGACCCTTCGCTGAGGGCGGTCTGACGCAGCCACCCAGGGCAGTCAACCACCACCGGCCGCTGGGTGGACCGGCGGCTTACCCGCCGCCCCCCGGGTGATTGCCGCCCCCGTGACCGCGCTGACCGCGCCACTGACGTCTCCCGCGCCACTTAGGCCGCCCACTTCCGGACGGGCATCGGTGCCATGCTGCGAGGGTGGGCAAAGGTCGCCGCTTTCGCGTCGAGTGGGGACGCTTATGTAAATTTCGCTGATCGTTTGGGACGGATTCTCGGAAGCGGATACAAACGCGTTCGTGTTCAGATTAAAGGGTCGTACTTAAATGCTAATGTATTCATGGGTTAATTGCCTGGCTGGTTAAAGCAATTACTTTTCATGAGGTCTCCATAGGAGTGGTCAGGAACTGGGCAGATTTCTTAGATCTCGAAAACACGGTGTTGATTTGTAAGCAGACATGCTTATGTAACTTTACACGAATCGTGTAGTTAGCACGTAGCCGACGTATTCATTGATTTGCTGTATGAACGGTTCCATGCAAAAATCGACAACCTGAATAAACTGTGACTGCACTGACGAAGCATCATCGACCTGCTCAATCCTTACAGTGCTTGACCAGCCTGTGCTAAACAGGGAAGGTAACCTGCCACGAACGGTGGCCATGACTCGACGGCTGTGTTTTTCGGCTGCGTCCCAGCTACCCCATCCCGCCACAGCACGTCGTGCCGACCGATTGACCAGCTGCCGCCGGCTACCGTGAGCCGCGCCAGGGCCTGCCCGGACCCCGCGACCCCGCACGGAACGGACAAACTCCGGATCACGCGAGCCCTGACGCCGCTGTGACTGCGAGCGTCCGCAGGTCGGGACGGCTGACGGCGGGGACCACCGTCGCAGCCGCCGCGCCGCTGGGCCGACCGCCGCCAGGTCGACGACCAACCCCGCAAGCAGCGTATGACATCACGGCAGAACGAACGTTAGCTTGATTAGACCCTAAATAAATTAGCCTGATTTCGGTCTGCTGCCGTGCTGTCTGCTGAATTTAGGCGCAGCGCGGCATGCAGAGCGGTATGTTATCAATGAGCGATTGGCCGGGACGCCAGCGCCCGCTCCCGCGACCGACGAGATAGAGTGCGGCGACACACTCAGCAGCATGAGCTGCGTAGTGCAACAAATTATGTACCAGAGTGTAAGGCCCCCGTGTCCAAAGACCGTAAATGGCTTTGTAGCAGGGTAAGTACCAAGTTCAGAAAAACACAGCGTAGTAGGCATCTGTGAACAGATATCGTGACTTAATGAGAATCTTTGGAATCGATCCGTCCAACATGGTGAATAAAGTAACAGGTGAAGGAACCGCGACACCAGCGCTATCATATAAGGCCTTTAGCGGAGCTTACGCTTTCAGACGTATTTTGAATCCAATTTCGTGTAAGTCGAGCGCTTGTAGCAAGGCCTGGCACTTGCACAGATTGGTGCTCCAAATGAAATGGACCCGCAGTATGTGCTTCCCGCATATTATGATGCATTATGAGAGAGGGTTTTCAAATCACGCTAAGCCCCGTTCCCATTATTTGGGCCGGCACCACGACATGTCTTACACTTGGACTGGCTAGAAATGTCACGAGGACCTAATTTCCTCGCCAGAAATCACCCTGAGTGCACTGCGGACTCCCGTAAACCAACCCGGAGGCGGCGGTCCGGTTCCGCGTGTATTGCCGTTTTTTAGACATACCTTCAACAGCGGCCAGCAGGAGAACGCTGAGGAGGCACAGCCTCATGGTGCCGACGCCTCAGTCGCCTACAACGCGGGCGCCTGCTGTCCACCGCGGGCGCCTGCTGTCCAGGCGCAGCGCGGGCGTTTCAGTCGTCACAGCGCGGGCGCCTGCTGTCCAGACACAGCGCCGTCCCGCCAGCCCCAGCAGCGTGCCGGCAGGGACGTCCTCTCATGCCAGTGCACGCGCCTGGTGCTCGGGATCCTTGGGATCCTCGAGATCCGGCGGATCCGCCTGCCTCTCCGCGCCGCCGACAGCGGGAGACGCAACGGGCAAGAGAAGGCCTCCTCGCGAGGAGTCTCGGTGACGTCACCGAGGCGGCTGCGCTACCACTTCCACGACGCCAGCATCGCGGTCTGGCGCGTCCGTCTCGCCACCCGACGTCGCGACTGTCACGCGGAGATCCCACGTGCGGGACGCGATGTCGCTGGAGCGCGGGCGTTTGTCAGCACCGCACGCCGGCGGCGTCGGCGGCGTCACTCGTCACGCGCTCACCACTGCCGCGTTCTCGGCGCGCGAGGCGTCACGGCGCTCTGCCCTCGTCCGCGCTCGCAGCCGCCCGCCGACCGACGGGCGCCGGCGGCGGCGGCGGCGGCGCAGGCGGACGCAGCGTCGGCGTCGGCGGCCGGGCGCGTCGGCGGCGACGCAGGCAGCGACGGCGGTGTGACGGACCGCTGAGGACGGTGGCGACGCCGCGGGAAGAGCGGCCACGAGCCGCGGCGGGGCGAACGGTGGTGGGGCCGATGGCGAGCTGTCCAGGCTGGCCCGGTTTCACATGCGGTGCGTTTTGTTGGGAGAAGAATGCGCTGCGCGACAGTGGCTGCAGTCCAAAGTCCGAAGTCGTAAGTCGAGTCTTATTTTGACGGCTGGAAGCCGTTCCAAAGAAGCTACGCTAGGTGATGAAATGGAAAGACAGACACAATGGTAAATATATACCCACGCTCACCCACACAGTTACTGACCCAAATCACCAGTTAGATGTAATTTGATAAAAAAATAAATTCTATAAATTATGAAATGTATACATCATTAAGAGTAAATGGATGAACTTTAAGCTCTAAATAAGCTGACGTGTTTTCTGCTGAAGACTAATAGACTGGTGGATGAGCAAAGATCAGTGGAAGATTACATGGAGGCTCGAATTTTGGGAGCTCGCGACCATCAGGTAGGAAGAGAGGGAGGACAAAAGGAAAACAATGAGTTAGCACAACTCCCCTACACCTGTCACTGTCGGCCCTGGGCTGGTTGTCCAGCGGCCCAGCGCCGTATGGTCCTCGTCTGGTGTGTTAATAGTGATGAGCCAGTTGGGAACCAGGTCACCTCCTCCCGGTTACAAACTGGTCAGCTGGTAGAGCAGTGGACTCGCAACCGAGGACATTGGTTCGAATCCCAGCAATTTCGAGGGCATTCAGGCTGAAACGCGTACGTGGGCGAAAATCAAACATCATCCAGTCCTTCCCGGGACTCCATTACATGTGACGACCGGAGAGTTAGCAGGTCGAAACTTTGTGTGCATATCAACACACCAGGCAAGGACGATAGTCCAAGCGCTTGTTCTGCTTGTGATGCTGATACTTCGCCTCAGTCCTTCGTAACATGTAGATGTAGGGGAGTTGTGTCGTCCTTTTTCTCCCTCTTTCTTCTTTCCTTTCTAACCTCCTGATGACGACGAACTCAAAAATTCGTCCCCCAACTAGACTTCTTCTGATCTTTGCTCATCCAC